GCAGCAGCAGCATGAGGGCAGCAGCGGGCGCGCCATCGTGTATGCCCTCAAGCGCCAGGCCGTCTCCGGCCTCGCGCGGCGGCTCGCCGCGGCGGGCGTGGCGTGCGGCGCCTACCACGCCGGCCTGCCGGCCGCGGAGCGCGCGGAGACGCTGGCGCAGTGGCGGGCCGGCGAGCTGGCGGTATGCGTTGCGACGGTGGCATTTGGCATGGGCGTGGACTCCCCCGACGGTGCGACGGCCGGGTGGCTGCCGCGCCGCCGGCCCTAGCATGAGCATCCTGGCCTGGCCACTGCACCCCGAGACCGGTTGTACCCATGCCCGTGGTGATGTAACTGGTCGCGCCCCGTCACCACGCCGGAGACGCCTTGGACCGACACATGCACCGCCTCCAGCCCCACCAACCTGGCTCACTTGCCAACCAACCCGCTGTCCTCAAACCAAACGCCCTCTTCTCGACTCATCACGCCCGCGCAGTGCGGCTGGTGGTGCACATGAACCCGCCGTCATCAATGGAGGCCCTTTACCAGGAGAGCGGCCGCGCGGGGCGCGACGGGCTGCCCGCGCGCAGCATCATCTTCTATGGCGCCGCCGACCGCAGGTGCGAGCTAACTGCGAAAAACATGGGGCCACGTGCAAACGCGGCTGCGTGGTCCCATCCACGGGTTGCGTACTTTGGAAAAGGCTTGCACAAAGGCGGTGCAGGTCGGGACATGGGGCATGCGGGTTTCTGGCGCGGCCTTCCGCCGCGGCCTCGGGCGTTGCACGTGAGTGCAGGCATGTGTGCGCCACTGGTGCCATGCCAAAGCGACCCGCCCCGCGAGTAGCCTGGTGTTGCTTCGGCGACCAAACCCGCTCGCCCGCTCATGCGCAGGCGGATGGACTTCATTTTGCAACAGGAGCTCGAGCAGGCGCGCCGCGGCGGGGGCGGGGGCGGCGGCGCGGCGCGCGGCCGCGGCGGCGGCAGGAAGCGGGGACTCGAGCAGCGGGCGCCGAAATCGGAGGGGCACGATGACGAGGACGGCGGGGACGACGCGCCGGGTAACGCAGCCGACGACGGCGGCGGCAAAGCTATGGCCGCCGCGGCGCTGAAGGCGTGGGGCGAGGTGGTGGCTTACTGCACGCAGCCGACGTGTAGGCGCGTGCGCGTGCTCGGCCACTTTGGCGAGACGCCGCCCGCGCATGCTAATGCGGCCGCCGGCGGCGCACGCAGGCGCGAAGGGGCCTGCCCGCGCTGCTGCGACGTGTGCGACGACCCACGAGAGGCCGCCGCGGCGGCGGAGCAGCAGCGGGAGCTGGAGGCGTCCGCGCTGCTGCGGCGCGGCGGCGCTGGATGGCGCGGCGGCGGCGGGGCCCGTGGGGCGGGTCGCGGGGGCGGACGTGGACGCGGCGAGCCGTGGGGGTGGGACGACGGCAGCAGCGATGAGGAGGGAGAAGAGGGCGGCGGCAGCGACGAGGGTGATGGTGATGCTGCGGGGGAGGACGAGGCCGCGGCAGAGCTTCTGCGGCAGGCGAAGCGGCGGGCGCCGGCGAGCGCGCTGGCGGTCCTGGAGCGGGCGGAGGAGGCCCAGGAGAAGAAGCGGCGGCAGCAGGCGCTGGAGGCGGAAGGGGACCCCTTGGATCGGCGCCTGGCGGCCGCGGGCGGCGCCCCGCCTTCGCACAGGGTGGGCATTTTTCTGGGGTGGGGAAGGGCACGTTTCCAGGCGGGTCGCTCCTGTTCCGCCACGCATTGGCAGCCCTGGACCACCCGTTTTGCGTGTGCGCAACCTGCGGCGGCCCCATACTTAGACTCCTTGGCCACCCTCATGCAGTCGGCCGCTGCCCCGGCCTCTTCTGCTGCAACGCGCTGCAAACCCATTCCACTCCGCCCAGGCGGAGGTCGACGCCGCCCAGCGCGGCGCCGTGCGCGCCAAGCTGGCGCAGCTGATCGCCTCCAACCCGGCGCTGGCCTGCACGGCCGCTCAGTCGGACGCGATCGGCGCCGCCGCGGAGGGCGCGGTGCACCGGCCGGCCATCCAAAAGCAGCCCTACACGAGCGCCGCGACGGCGCTGGCCGCGGCGGTGCGCCGGGCGCCCGGCTGGCACGCGCTCGCGCCGTGGGCGGGAGCGTTTGCGGGGTGCGGGCGGGAGGCGTTCCTGGAGGCGGCGGTCGCGGCGGCCGAGGCGGCGGCGGGCGGCGGGCAGGATGAGGGGGACGGGCGGCTGCAGCGGGCAGTTCAAGAGCTGCGGATGCTACGAGATCTGGAGGTCACGGCGGGCCTGCTGCAGGCGACGGGCGCGGGCAGGCGCGTGCGCGCGCTGAAGAAGTGCGCGGGCGGAGTGGGCGAGGCCGCGGGCGCTGTGGTCGACGCGTGGAGGGCGCGGGTGGCGGCGGCGACCGCTGCTGTCAGTGGGGAGGGCGGCGGGCAGCAGCGGCGGGAGCGACCGCCAGCGGGAAGCGGCGGTGGCGGCTGATGCAGGTGCTGTGGGCCGCTGTCCCTGCATTAATTGTGGTCTCGCAGCTTTCCTTGCCTTGGTCACTTTTCGCGGTTGTGTGACATTGGTTTGGTGTAAGGGTTGAAGAATGTCTCACACCTGTTGGCTTCTGTGGTTGCTGCCAGCCGTTGTTGGACTATTGCAACCGTTTGCAGGGGATGGCATACGCCATTTGCAGCAACATCAGATGGGGGGTTTGCACTTTACAGAGGACAGCCACAAGGTGCTGCTCAGAGACAGCTCAAGTATCAGGCGAGTGCGCATCCAAGCTCAGAGTCAGTCGGGTATGCGTGCCAGTCAAGCGGCGTGTGTGGGAAGGGCAGGGATTGTCTCAGGGCAGGAGGAGATCCCGCAAATGTGAGAGAAAGAGCAGGGCTTGCAAAGCTCAAACATTTGTCATCCAAACAAATCATCATCTTAACTTGCTCTGTCGGCAAGGTTTGACAGGTAGGGGAGCAGTCCACATCATCGTTTGACTCATGTAATACAGCCGTGTCCATGGTACTATCCGCCCAACCGAGGAATATCTAATCAGATTCAACGAGTCGTTTGGGGTCAGGAACAGCCAAGGCTGGCTGGCTGACAAGGCAGGCAATGAGCAGACGGGTGAGCTTTGTGGCAGGAGTGGTGTGAGGGGAGACGTCATCATTGCTGAAAAGCGGCACGTGCTTCATCAGCTCCATATCTTGCACTCAGGAGTGGCAGAGCAACGTCCAAGGATAAAGGGAAATGCGTGCACAACTTTCTTAGGCCACCCAAGCAGTCGGGGTGCGTTCGTGTGTGCCGCTGGCCAAGCAAGGCCTATGGCGCATGGTGAATCAGCGTGAGCGTCTGCCAGCTCTCGCCTAAAGGTTGCAGGTTATTCAAGTGGAGAATTTGCATTGCCCTGGCTTGATCCTGTTGGGTGTGAACCACATTGTGCCAAAGCTGCCCGGCTGCCCAGCAGCAGGCTTACTAACATCAAACTGGACAAAGCGGTCGGTGAACCAGGGGCCCGCCACCCACACAAAGTCCTGCGCGCTAGAAGACGCACGCACATACGAGCAGGCGGCAACGGCAGTCGTTGCGCCACCCCTGCAGTCATTGACTTGGAACGCCCCTGGAATGGAGGCCACGGCGCCACCCTGCAAAAGCAAGCGGCCATGGCGGGTCCAGAGAGGCTAATCTATGACTGCCAAGTGGGGGCCTTTCGTTTGTGCGCCTGCAGCAGGCGCGGGCGCAGGTCCTGGGTTCGTGCCAGTCAGGCTGCAGGGGCGCAACGCTCAAACCGGGTGGGTGCGAACACACATCAGAAAAGGCCTCCGCCGCGCTCTGGTGGACGGGAGGGCCATGACGTGCAACCATCGCACCTGCAGGGTGATGTTGATGTAGTTGGGATACAGGGCCAGCACCGTGGCAGCAGCGGCCTGGATCTTGGACTTGGAGGTGCCGCTGGGAAGAGTGATCTGGGTGCAGGCCGAAGGCAGCACGGTGTTGTTGCTGCTCACAGGCAGGTTGGCGCCGCACCTGTGATCGTCAGCGGCGTCGGCGCGTGTTGCAGGAGTATTGTCTAAATGGGCGGGGTGGGGGCAATTGCAAGCTTGTTGCAGCGCACCGCTGCGAGGCAGCGGTGGGATCAATGTGGTGGCGCACGCAGCTCTGTCTGACAGCACGCTGCTGCAGGACCCCTTGGACACCCCCCTCTCCTGCTGCCGCAAGGCTGACAGCTGCTGCGTCGTTGGCACAGCGTCCCTCACATGGAAGTGGCGTTCTGGCAAGCTGTGACATTCAGGCCCTTGCTCTGCGCCGCCTGCAGGTTTGCGGGTCAAATTCAAACCGGTGTAGGTGATAAGCAGCAGGATGGCTGCAGCTCTTAGTCGCGCGTGTGGAAGAGTGCCAGGTGACTGGGCAGTATTACCTCTGCTTGGCTCCGCCCGGGACCTGCCACAGCGCACAACCCGTGCGCTACCCTGCAAGACACCCCAAGATTGCACAGCACGTGCATATCCCAAACAAGGCTGAAGAGCATGCGCGAATGCTCACAGCAAAGGCGGCCTGGAAGTATGCAATGTGGGGGTTGTACACTGCGGCTGGCACAGTGAACTCTCCGTATGCGCCCTGCAAGCGACAGGGGCGCGTCGGTTGAGTCGTCGATGACAGCATGGGGCAATGGCAAACCGAGACCGTGCCAAGCACCACCAGGTGTCAAGCAAGAGCCACAGACAAAAGTGCAGATCAAGGCGCCAGGCCCCGCATCGAAGCAGCAACAGAGGCACTCCCACCGTGTCCCAAAGGACTGTCGTTGGAGATGTGAACGGGATGGTGGTGGCTGGGCTGCCTGCGAAGCCAGGAACGGCAGCCCCGCTTGCGATGCTGCGGAATTCTTGTGTTGAGGCGCTGGAGGGGCCGGCGCCCTGGGGCGTGAAGGTCACGTTGACCAGAGGGGCGCTGCGGAGGGTGCTGTTCTTGAGGCCGATGGGCAGCTGGGGCCCGAGGATGTTGAAGGAGTTTGGGGAGAGCCGGGCGTTGCAGTTGGTGTTTGTTTGGGCATCCAAGTAACAGAAGCCAACCTGGCAGGGACAAAGAGGTAGGTGGTGGCCCGGGTCTGAGGATGTGATGCATGTGTGCTGCGTGAGGAACTAAGCCAGGGTGCTAGCAAACGCTGATGGGATTCTGAGGGGAATGCCAGCTGGAAGCAACGCGCATACAAACACGCACGCAGGAATCCCTTCCTGGCGACTGCTCACTGTGCGCTGAGAGATGAGTCCCTGGTCATGAGCCTGCAGGGTAGGTGCAGCCAGAAGCGGTGGGCGTCGGTCGGCTGCAATCTGGCAGATGCCCAACAACGCGCCAGGTATTGAAGCCATGACAACACATGGATCTCCCTTTCCTCCCGTGCTTCGCAAGAGAGATTAGGCAGCAGCAACAGCACCCATGATTTCCTTGGAATGCTTTAGGCTTGGGCGTCAGTCTGCCCCTGCATGTCGCACCTGCTGAGGTACAGCAATGCTGCTCGGCCCTGCTACGCCGCTTGCCCATGCAAATGTCCACCTGCGGCGCAGGTACGTGCGATTGGTGGATCTGCTTAGACTTATGGGTTTGAGCTGCAGGGCCTGACAGCAGCCCTTCTAAACACACATCGTGTGTGTATAGGGGGGGGGAGAGCGACAGCACACCGTGTGCGTGTGCGTGTGCGTGTCAGTGCATGCGCGAGTGCAGGTGTGTGTGCATGTGCACGACGGTGTTGAACCGCAGTCGCGTATTCAAAAAAGAGTGAGTGGAGGTGTGTTCGCGTGCATGCCCTCCTGTATGTGTGTGCAACAATGACATGTGCATGCAAGAGCAAAAGTGCGTGTGCAGCCAGCTGGCTGACCCTGCATGCCTACCCTGCCTCAATGCCAGAGCTGTAGTCGTTGCATGCAAAGCCAGGCTGAGACATGTCCAGTGGGCAGACTTGGGCATTGGCCAGGCAGGTGGCCCCAGCTGCGCCCTCTGCACACCTGCGCGAGGGGATGGGGTATTCATGAAGCACCTCAAACCTGTTTTTGCTTCAGTGCGCTATGGTGTGTATCAAAGCAATAGCAAGTGTGAAATGTATTGGTGCAGGTGTTGAAGTGTTCACGCACGCACGCACACGTGTGTGTGGATGTGTAGGTGGGTGTGGGTGCATTCGTGCGTGCGTGTGTGCGTGCGAGTGAGTGCGCACACGCACGCACGGGCGCGCACGTGCCTAAACGGGCATGCATACTGCTTGTGAGGATTACGGCAAGGTGACTTGCACGATCACGACAGCAGGAGTAAGAAACACAGTCTCGATGCACGACGCAGAGGTACAACTATAAACATCACAATGGCACAGCACAAAAGGCAAGTTGATACCGTTGGGTCGGTGCGCACTTGAATTTCTTAGTTGAACAGGCAAATTTCGCCTTGAAGGGCAGACCGCCAGTGCCTGCTCCCTGAACATGATTGAAAGTGACAGTGTCCGTGGCAACGGGGCCCGCGTTGCCGTTATACCTGCATGTACAGGGGGCGAATTGTACGGTTGCACACTAGTATGGGCGCCCGGACTTTGCACCGACCGTGCAAGAGACAGTGCCTAGTGTGCTGCGTCATCCCCCTGACCTGGGTCCGGTACACCGGCAGAATTACTACTTGCTTCTTGACTGAATAATCACCCAGGCAAGGTGAAATCGCGGACCGGGCAAAGCGCTCAACCCCTAGACGCACAAGCACCACCATCACTGCTCACCCAGTGCCGCCCGTCAGCCCCTGGGTGTAATAGCAGCCGGCCTGCGCACTGCCCTGCTTGTGCTTTCACTGCAGCCCTGTGCCCTGACAGTTGGGCAGCGCAGCGCTCTGTTGAAGGGTGTAGCTGCCGGGCAGATTTGGGCAGCCATCACCAGGGGAGTTGCAGGTCACCTCCAGCAGGCCGCTGCCCGTGTCAGCCGTCATCGTGTAGTTGGCGCCGGCGAAGCCAAAGCCGATGGAGCGCGACCCGATGCCGCGGGGGTACGGCTGGGAGGCGCCTGCATGGTGGCGCAGCGCGCCGGTTGAATCAATGCGACCGCTGGAGGCTTATCTGACAAAACCTGAAAGAGCAATGACGGCATCCAACCTGGCACCCAAGGTGTGCCCTTGTGATTTCTCCTGGCTATCGCTGCATGCGCGGGCCGCGTGAGCTGGTCGCAACATGCTCGACGGCGTTCACAGGATGCAATAGTTCTCGGCCTCCCGTCTCCTCACCGCCGATGTCAAGGGCCACAGAGATGACGTGGCTGCAGGCACGCATTGCATCGGGGGTGAGCGGTGCATGTTGTGAAGCAGCGACTGCAGGTATGCTTCTGACCATGTGTGCGGCAGCTGGAGGTAGGTCTTGCTGGGTGTCGCATGCAGCATGTCTCAAATCAACACAGCTTTCCAAAATTCGCCACATGCTCCAGTAGCAAATTGAGAGCAAGCGTGCCCGCGCCTCTCATCCTGCACCTGCTAGAGATGGC